TTCTTTTCCGTTCGTTTTTTTTTCTTTTAAGACGCCGAGTTCTATTCTCGATTCTCGACCCAGTTTTCTAAAGTCATCCATATCAAAAGTTCAAGAGACTTTTTGTTTTTAAATTCGTATTTAATTCACATTGAGATAAATAAAGAAAATTCTTTGTTTGTACAACACTTTCATTAGAACTAATTGTACGACTAGTAATGCTGAATAACAATTAAATAATGCTGAATAACAATTAAAACTAGAACTAACACTTTAGCCGTGTTTAGCCGTGCGTCTGAGGACGCACGGCTAAACCCGAAACTTTCTAATTGTAGGTCTAGTGTTAGTTCTAGTTTTAGTTCAATAACAGCTAATACTGAATAACAGTTAAAACTAGAGCTTCATCCCTTTGCAGAACTTCATCATCTTTGTATTTGCTATATTCACCTCCAATCCCATCGGCCTGAAATATCTCCCCAAGTGTCTCACCATCCCTCTCATTTCTGCTGCCTCTTTCGGCACAACTACCATGTGATTCACGTGCACTTTCTCCCTCCTTCCGTCACACCTCCCATTTACACCTTCTCCTGCCTTCCAAGGGTTCATAACCATTAAAAATTGTTCAAAATGATTATTAACTCTTTGGTAATTATTGAAAGCTTGTCTAAAAGTTTGACAAATGTTTTATAGTAATACCACGATGTTCAAAATAATTAAAATCTGGTTCCTAGCTAAACAAAATTCTTTGAAATGATTAAAAACAATCTGGAAATGATTGAAATTGTGTCTAAATGATTAAAAACTGGTTGATTATCATTGAAAAGTTGGCGATATCATTAAGAGCTGGTTTTTAGCTATGCCAGGTTGTTCAAAATCATAGAAAATTGATAGATCATCCTTGAAAGCTTGTCTAAATGGTTAAAAACTTGCAGATTATCACTGATAACTTATGACATTTTCATGACTACGCAATATCGACCAGGTCGACCTTGAAAATCGTTTGAAGAGTCGAATGAGGAGCTTGGTTCCACTTTAGAAGGCGGAATTATTATTCGTACAGTACAAGTTGAGTTGAGTAAATCTGGAAAAAGAGATACTAAAAGTTATTATGTGCACCCCAATACGGGCAACAAAATACAAGACTGTTCCAAGTTCCAAGCATTGAAAACGTTTAAAGATGCTGATTTAACAGGAGGACAATATGAAATAATTCGAAATACTAATAAAAAGTTCTTCGCGTGTTATAATCTTATACAGCAAGCAAAAAAGAGTGATATCAATTGCAACCTTTAGTCGATATTACCATTAGTATTCACTTTATTGCCCAACAAAGATTAATTACAAGACAATATTACAAGAAAAAGAAAACAAGAAATAACACATGCCATAAAACGAATGTAATTCACATAAAGACTCCTACACTATTATTGATTGTTAGTTAATTTACACATCTGCACCGGGGAGTTGGCTAAAACATTGGATTTGCAATTCCTCAAGTAAAACTGATTGGTACCATGTGTTGTACACCTTGCACTAACTTCTGCAAAAACTTGATACACTAGTCATCTCGTCTTACGTCTAGTGCAGAAAAGTTGTGACGCCGCAGCAGGGATGCGTAATCCGTTCCACGATCCGGGTATGATCCGTCTAGGCGTAGAGACAAATATTTGAGAAATCTCCTCTGAATTCTCTCCAATATAAGACTATGACACACATAAATTTAGAGCCATATTCCAATTTGGACAATACAAAGGTCGAAAATATCCGATATCAGAGAGAATATCCATAGCAAAACGAAACCAAGCATCCTCGCTACAGAAGATAATATTTGCGGCAATATTTTCGATGTGTGGTACAAAAAACAATTTTCGGTCAAAAGTAACTTCCAGATCCTTGTTTCTCAAGAACATCTTCTATATAATAAGAAGATGGAAGAGGCATTAATCTTTAGCTGATAACGGTTACACCATTCCACCAAGACGTCCAAGTCCAAGAAGACTGACAACATCACGGTCCGAAAAAATAGGTTGGAATAGTTTCAGATCATTCGGATAAGCTAGTACGCTTGATGAAAATTTGTCTAGATGGTCATTCAAGAAGATAACAAATAGGGGGCCTAGATTTGAACCATGAGGAACACCAGACCTAGCCGTTATAGACCCGATATTAAAGAAGTCTTATCCACAATAGTAGAGCAAGAAAGGGATACATTAAAGATTATATGTTAATGGGGATGCGATGGATCGTTCAAGCAAAAATTTAAGGAGGCTGATTCAGATGCAAATATATTTCAGAGCTGCTTTGTACCTATGCGATTAGTTTGTGGCAAAGACTCTGAAAGAGTACTATGAGAAAATCAAACTCCAAATCCAGAATACTGATGTTACAAATGAAGAGATGAAATATGTCCTAAATTCCATAGACTCTTTAATCGCAACTGAGGTTGATATTGATGAAAAGAAGTTTTTCGTCAAACATCTGTTCATAATGACAATGGTTGATGGATAAGTCTGCAACGCAGCTAATTGCACAACATCTACAAGTCTAATACAAGTCTAAGTCTCTTCTTTTTAGAAAAACATAAAAGGAGAAACAAATGGAAAAGAAGAGGAAAGACTGCTAGTTTATATGTTTTGGCGTCCAATGTCACCGACAATGCATAAGATATTAATTCATGGAGGTACTACCTATTGGTCTCTGATGAGGCAGTAGAACCGCGCAACAAGCATTTTAGGACATATTGCCAAGACTTTTCAACGAAATTTTCTAGAGAGTCCTGTAATAGATAATAGAGAAATTAAACCGGCTTCTTTTGAGCTCACATCACTTACTCAATAGCAAGAGAACTTAAAAAAAAAGAAAATTTACTTCGTTTCTTTCTGAAACCATCAATGCTTCTGCCAGCACAGCCAAACCCAATGGTTCTTCCATCCGAAATTATTTCTGAACAAGATTATTTTGTAATTTTTTCCTTCCTCAATCATATTTTTCGTTTACAAACAATCGCCAGCAATCTAAGCAATAACAAAAATTTTGGACAAGCGTTGTAAGCTTGTCTAAATAATAAAACACAATTTGGTAGTCACTAAAAGTTTGTCTAAATGATTGAAAACTGTTTTTCAATCATTTAGTACTGGTTTAAAGGATTAAAATCAGGTTCATAGCAAAACCATGTTGTACAAATTGTTTCTAACAACACTAGGATGTTTAAAATCATTAAAAATTAGTTCTGTACATAACTAATAATAACGCATAATAATTACAAGTAGAGTTAGCACTAGAACTGACACTATACCTAGAACTAGAAACATTCGGGTTTAGCCGTTTTAAGAAACGCTAGTTGTAGTACTTGTGTTAGCTCTAGTTTAAGCTGTTATTCAGTGTTAGGTTGTTATTAAACGAAAAATAGAACTAACACTAGACCTAGAACTAGGAATACTTGCGTTTAACCGTGTGTTTGAAGATTCATTAAATATTAGAACACAAGATACTGCGGACAGAAGACTAAAAATTGTTGGTAAAGGACTAATTATTGCAAACAGAAGACTTGACAATGCTTATGGAAGGCTAGAAACTACTTACAGAACACTATGTACTTCAACAATGCTGATAGAAGCTTGGATACTAGTTGTGGAAGATTAGATACTTCTAATGAAAGATTATGTCAGATACTGCGGGCATAAGATTAGATATTGCTGACAGAAGACTAGACAACTGCTAGAAGACTAGATACTATTTACAAAATACTAAAGGGTTTTAGTGGAAACCTATATACTGTTATTAGACCACTAGATACTGCTGACAGAAGACTAGAAATTGTTGGCAGAAGACTTGACAATATTTGTGAAAACTAAAAATTACTTACACATTAATAATATTATTGCTTTATGCAAAAATGTTTCTAAATCAACTTATCGATTTAAAATTGGTTTTTATAAACTCATCTAAATGATTTCAAAATAATTTATATTCATTCCAAGTTGTTTAAACTGCATCAAACGATATCCAAAACACATCTACAATGTTGCAAAATTATTAAAATTGATTGGTAATGTTTGGAATTTTGTCTAAATGATTGCAAAATAACTTATAGGTATGCCAAGTTATTCAAAATAAGTACAAACTTGTTGGTAATCATTGCAAACTTGTCTAAATACTTAAAAACTGGTTCATAACTATTAAAAGTTGTTCAAAATGGTTATTAATTATTTGGTAATTATTGAAAACTTGTCTAAAAGGTTAACAAATGTTTTATAGTAATACCACGATGTTCAAAATGATTGAAATCTGGCTGGGTACCATTGAAAAATTTTATAAATGATTAAGAGCTGGTTCTTAGCTAAGCAAAATTCTTTGAAATGATTAAAAACAAGCTGGAAATTATTGAAAGTTTGTCTAAATTATTGAAAACTTAGAGATATCATTGAGAGCTGGTTTTTAGCTATGCCAGGTTGTTTAAAATGATTCAAAATTGATTTGAAAGCTTGTCTAAATGGTTAAAAACTAGCAAGTTATCACTAATAACTTGTGTGTATCATTGAAAACTGATTCTTAGCTATGCCAGGTTGCTCAAAATGATTAAAACTAAGTTGGTAATCATCTAACGATGTCCAAAATACATTTACAATGTTGCAAAATTATTAAAATTGATTGGAAATTTGTAATTTTGTCTAAATGATTGCAAAATAACTTATAGCTATGCCAAGTTATTCAAAATAATTACAAACTTGTTGGTAATCATTGCCTCCTACATATTTATCATGTAAAATTGTTTCAAAATCAATTTATCGATTTAAAATTAGTTTACAACCGAAATCGATTATTCGAAGTGATAAATTGGGAGTCAAACAGTTTGGCGAAAACGTCTTATAACGATTATTAATACGACAGGTTTTAAAGCTTTACTCGTAAACATCCAACCGAGAACTTAATAGGTTTCGTATTAATTTTCTAACATTAAAATGTTCATTAAACTCATTTCGTTTAAAAATTAATTAAGTAATAGTAATTTTAAAACTTACTTTGGTTATTATTTTTTTCGCAATCCGAACTTGAAGAACTCGATTTATTTCTACTTCCACTTTTTCGTTTTAATAAAACTTTCCGCGTTTTATCCGAATCGAAACTAACTTTATTAGACTTTTGGAATGGAAGCACATCACTTTTAGCATGAACTAAATGAAATCTATTTGATTCATTAATAAAGTCATCACTATTTTCACATTTTTTCCTCCTTCTCAGAATCGGGTTACTGAACGACTCTTCTCTTATTACCAACGTGCCCGCACTACAAGTTCTTGTTATGTATCTGCTATGTTTTACGCGATTTATTTCCGGTTTTAATAAGTTTTGATTTTCGGTTGAGTGATGATTCTTTAGGATCGATTTTTTCGTGCTTGCTGGGAAATTATTGTTGTTATTATTATCAGGTGTTAATTTTAATTTTAAGAAATTATCAAATCCATCTTTTACGGCTCTCTTAACGCTTTCATTTGATGATCTTAAATATTCATTGTTCAATTTTAATTTATCGTATAAATCGTTTGAAGATTTTTTATTGTTTATTCTATAACGATCTAACGGTTTGTAAGGAGCCGATATACTCACACTTCTTTGTTGGAAATTAACGTCGCTTTTTGATTTTTGTATCGATTTTTTTAACTCGGAACTTCTCCAACTATTTTTACCCGAGGAATCATTTTCTTTTGTATCCACCAATAATTTTCCTTTCGAATCGTATAAATGTATGATTGGAAGCGATATATTCGGCGCTGATTTAGAGGCTGTTAGCTCCCAATTCCATCTTTTTGGCTTTTTTAATTTCAATTTGATGATATCATCATCGATGTGAGGTGATGAAGTTTTCATTTTTTTTTAATTTAAAAAAAGCGTTTAATATGCTTAAGCTTCGGTGCTTTTCAAGCAACTGAAGTTGAAAAATCCCTTCATTTTTTTCTCTCTTTATAATTCGAAGAATTCAAAAACTCGACTGAAACGGAACACACGGACGTGATGTAGATAAACTTTGTGACTTGTGCCAACTTGTTCCCCACCTTACACTCACAGCGGATCTATCGTCGCCGTCGGGCCCGTCGATTTCGACCTGGGGGCCAAACCAAACTAAAAATAGATCTTTGCCATGTGTTTTCTTGGAGTTGTATTATTGCAACATGAGTTCGCGTGTATTGTGTTGTTCTTCATCTTGTAAATATTTACATTTTAAATTTATATTAGCTATTTACTTTAAAACATTTTTTGCGGTTACAATTTTTTTCTAATTGATGAATCATGCTTTTGAAGGAATTCACCTTGCTAAGAAGGTGACATCATTTGTTGAAAGGATGGTTTCGTTGTGGAATCAAGCCAAAATTGATGTTTTTTGAATTTTTTTTTAGATTCAATGACAAAATGAAATGGACACTTCGAGTATTCAAAGTTTATTTTTGATGAGTAATTTTAATATATAATTTTAGCACCTTCATTTATTCCCGATCATACTTTATGGGTTAATAAAAGTTTTGTTAAAATCTTTTTTGCAAAAATCTCGTTGTCTCTGTGAATATTAAACGATATATTTATCCCGATTTGCGTATTTTCTTGGACCATATCCACATTATATCAAGCATTTGCATTCCAATCCTCAAAATAGATTCAAAATTATCTTGTTGATAGACTTGTCACTGTATTATTTAAGATTATTTTTAATTTTTAAACTATGTACATACAGTTGTCCACAAAATTGAATATAGTGAAGCAAAAATGATTTAGTTTAGGTTGGTATTGAGTTTTTGATAACTTTGACATAAAGTACATTTCCCTCAATAAAGTCCTTAGTCAGAGATACTTTGAAACAAGTGTGGGGCTACGCCAGGGGTATAGCATATAGGGGGGACCATTATTGATATTATATTATTATTATTATTATAGAGAACTACTTTGAATTGATGGATAACAAAGCAAATGTCCCGCCAAATAGTTTTTGGAATCCGCAAGAGAGCCATTCCTAGAAGCAGATATAAAGACTAGGTGGCAGAAAGTCTAAAAATGCTGGAAGTTAGAAACTAAAAGGCCACAGCGTGAGATAAAAGAGAGTGGAAGCTGATCCTGGAACAGGCCAAAACCCCACCAAGGGTTATGGTGTCAATGATGATGATGAAATTCAATAGTTCCAACGCTGCTAGCTGTTATTGATTGAGTGTGCGTCTTTAGCCATTTTCAGAAGACGCTATGCTGGTTTCTTGTTTAGGCAGCAGTGTTCTAGACCCCATTTATGGTTTGTTTTTTTTTGGAGAACCCTTTCGGACATGGTTATAATCGAAAATGATCAAAAACATCAAAATTTGATTTTATTTTTGTAGTGGGTTGGTACTACTGATCGATGGATTAAAATAACTTATTGGATATGTTTTATGGGTTAATTCTAGACCTTTTTTGTAAGAAAAGTATTTTTCCATCAGATATAATTAATGAGTTATAACCAAAAATGGTCAAAAATATCAAAATTTGATTTTATTTTTGTGGTGGGTTGGTACTACTGATCGATGGATTTAAATAACTTATTGGATTTGTTTTATGGGTTAATTCTAGACTTTTTTTGTAAGAAAAGTATTTTTCCATCAGATATAATTAATGAGTTATAAAAGAGAATTGATGAAAACGTCAAAATTTCTATTTTTCTTAAGTTGGGTTGATAATGCTGATTAATGGAGTAAATCTCTTTACTCAATACGTCTTATGAGTTAATTCTAAACATTTTTTGTTTAAAAAATAATTCTCCATCATGCACAATTAATGAGATAACCGAAAATTGTCAAAAATACCAAAATTTGATTTTATTTTTGTGGTGGGTTGGTACTACTGATCGATGGATTAAAATAACTTATTGGATATGCTTTATGGGTAATTCTAGACCTTTTTTGTAAGAAAAGTATTTTTCCATCAGATATAATTAATGAGTTATAACCGAAAATGGTCAAAAATATCAAAATTTGATTTTATTTTTGTGGTGGGTTGGTACTACTGATCGATGGATTAAAATAACTTATTGGATATGCTTTATGGGTAATTCTAGACCTTTCTTGCATGAAAAATTTTTTTCCATCAGACATAATTAATGAGTTATAAAAGAAAATTGATGAAAACGTCAAAATTTCTATTTTTCTTAAGTTGGGTTGGTAATGCTGCTTGATGGAGTAAATATCTTTACTTAATACGTGTTATGAGTTAATTCTAAACATTTTTTGTTTAAAAAATAATTCTGCATCATGCACAATTAATAAGTTATAATCGAAAATGATCAAAAACATCAAAATTTGATTTTATTTTTGGGTTGAGTTGGTACTGTTGATGGATGAATTAAAATAACTTATTGGATATGTTTTATGGGTTAATTCTAAACCTTTTTTGCATGAAAAGTTTTTCTCCATCAAACATAATTAATGAGTTATAAAAGAAAATTAATGAAATCGTCAAAATTTCTATTTTTCTTAAGTTGGGTTGGTAATGCTGATTGATGGAGTAAATATCTTTTCTTAATACGTTTTATGTGTTAATTCTAAACCTTTCTTGGTTAAAAAATAATTCTACATCATTCACAATTAATTTACCGAAAATTGTCAAAAATATCAAAATTTCGCGTTTTTATCTTTTTTTTCTTAACAAAAATAAAATAAATTTTGACAATGTAGGGAAATATGTAGGTATGTAGCAGTTGGTAACACCGTAACACTTGAAAATAGAAATTTGAATTGATAATTAGAAATTGTCTCATGTCACCTCCCGAAATAAGAGAAATTGCTCAGAGTTCTATTAAAACACTACCAACACTTCCAGAGAAGTCCTACGAAATGTACGAACAACAGTACGCTATGTTAATTCAAATTGTCACATTGACAGCTAGAAAAATTAATGACCCAATGTCACCAACATGAATTGGTTCCGTAAAATGTTACTAAAATCTCATTACAGCATCGGATGCTGTAAAGAGTCTCATTACAGCATCCGTTTGAGTACTGTAATAGCGTTCATTAGCGTCGAGAATTACAAAAAAAAATTAATTTATTGCATAAATAATTTCCTTTAATATAGTTTTTCATAACATTTTCTTCATATAGGGGGCGTAGCTCAGATGGTAGAGCGCTCGCTTAGCATGCGAGAGGTACCGGGATCGATGCCCGGCGCCTCCAAATTTTTTTTTGTATTTATTTAAAAAAAAAAATTTATATCGATTTCTTTAAAGTACCACATCATATAAACAATTTTTAAAAGCTATATTTTATAATCAAGCTTTTTAATAACATTTTTCATCAAAATAAAAAGTGAGGTTATGTTATTAAATTAACTGTCATACTGAAAATAACATAACCTTTACAGATTAATAACGTTTTATAACAAAATGCTAGAATTCTTAGAATGATATTTTAATATTTATTATAGTGTTTATTTACCGTTGAGACAATTCTAAACATACAAGTTAAGGTTTAAGATTGGAGTGAATTTATTTTAAAATATAGTTTCACAACAATACACAAAACAATATTATTACATTAGAGTTAAATTTAACATTGTGCGATGAGCCCAGTTAAACAAGTTTATCATTAAATCTGTCAAATCAAATTATTATCATCTGAAATCTCAGATGTCATCGCTATCAATATAAATATTAATAAATAATGCTTCCTTAACTTTATCAATTATTCCGTTTAATTTTGCTTTCACTTTGATGTGTCCTTCTTCTTCTTCTTTCTCTTGCCCCCATTTATACCCTACGGTGTTGGGTTTTGGATCCATCTTTTATATTTTTCTTCCTATCTTTGGCCATAGTCCGTACTTTGGTGAGTCTCTTCTTTCAACCATCTTCTCAATCTCTCCTTCCCTTTGGCCTCTTGGTATACGAGAATAAGGTATTAACTTTACCCATCTATATTGTAATAAAGCTTCCGTGACAGGTTTTACCTGACAGAGAAACATAACCTCAATTCAGTTGACAGTTAATCTTTAGTTGCTCATAATTCTCTTAAAACTGTTAATATTCTTTCTAAACGATCCAAAACGTAAAGATCAATGTTAGCTACATGTAATTTATTATATTCCAGAAGATTTTGAACAATTTTGACTTTGGAAATTGCATTTCAAATTTGTGAATTTCAAACTTCTTTTGTAGTTGGAAAATCTTGAAACCTCCAATGGGGATGGCTGAAATAGAAGGACATATGCATCAGATACAAAGTTTCATCCAGATTAGTGATGAATTAAAGAAGATATTAATAAAATAAGTTTTGGAATTTTGAGTGGTTCGAAAAAAATCCCCTAGATGGCGCTCTCGAAATGTAGAAAGATTTAAAATTATATTAAGGGAAGAAATGGCGCGGAACCCATCAACCAATCAGGAGCGAGCGTTTAAAATAAAAGGAAGAAAATTATCTGGAGAAGGGGAAAAGGGTATATAAGAAGAGGAAAAAGTTGAAGCAAGGCAGTTCAATTTAGTAAGGGTAAGAGGACTGTTGAATTTTGATAAAACAATCTAACCTAAAAAAGTCCGAAGTAGTTTCCTAACCTTAAATTGATTCAAAAGTTTTTTCTAATCCAACCGAATTAAGATTTTATTAACCTAAAAAAGAAATGAAGAAAAATTAAATTTAAACAGAAAATAAATTGAGGAGAAATTACCTGTGTTCCTGAAATTTTTCCAAGGACAGTTACCACATATCAGATCCAAACAATATCCGAGTGTAGAATATTTATCTGAACCGAAGTTCTCCGGATTCCTGTCCATTTTCCATTCCTAAGAGGGTGAGTTACACATAACCTAAAACTTATTTATCAGATAAGTGGGAATTTTACTCACTTGAAGAATTAAAATTGCACGAAAACACTATTATTTTCGGTTTGATTGAGAATCTATCTATTGTTATCGACAGACTTAAATCTTTGCAATCTTTATTAGGTAGTTTCTTAACGTAAACATAATAGTTTGACATCTGTCTTTATTGACGTTACGCTCTCTCTCAGTTAACGAATTTAAAAACAGAAATCTGTAAAATAAAGTTTCCTTTTTGAGCCTGAACTCGCTAATTAATTTTGTAGAAGAAGAGAGTACTGAAATAAGAGAATTCATAAACAAAGTTAAAAATAAAATTTCTTTTTTTTTGTGTTGTAAAATAAAAGTTAGGTTAGAAACTGTTAACTGTCAAAATTAAATATAACGATTTCTTGATAAATATTAGCTTTGTTCGTTGGGACTGCACTACTCTGCACGACATGGCACTCGTATGACGTCATAGTGCAATGAAGTGTAAGTCAGTGCAATGTCATGTCAACTTAGTGCAGGTCAGAAAAGTGTATAAACCGTGGTCGCAACGAACAGATTTTTATAAAGAAAAGTGTATAATATTTGAAATAGACGAACAGGAGATTGTCAGCGAAATACTCGTGGAAAATGAAATTATCGCAGAATGTTTTTTTAGTAGCGTTTTTTTAGTATTCATCAATTATTATTATTATTTTTTATTTTTTTCAATTATTAGCGAAATATATTTTCTATACCAAACTACTAACCCTTATTAGTTCTTTCAAAAGTACTACTTAACGTATAAAGAAATCACATGCTAAATTGCACCAAAATTGATAAGCAGTACTTGCAAAAAAAAATTTGGGGTGGTGAGGGTAGTTAACCCCAGCCACCCCTAAATGAGAAGAAACACATAATATTTTTAAACGTAGTGTATTTAATGCCGCCAAAATCGACAGGGTAGTTTTTAAATTATTCCAAAAAAGTAGGGGTAGTTTTCTACTGCCTCTACTGGGATTGAATATACTGTGTTCTCTAATACAACAAATATTAATTATTATAAGGTTTTATTTCTTAATATTTAATATTAATATTAATTATTACAAAACACGTTTTCAAATATTCCGCCATTTTAGTTACACTGCACTTATTGAACTTAATCGAAAGCAGGTGCAACAAAATCTGCACTAACTTGCACCGGCTGCACTAAATTGCACTGCACCTGGTCCAACGAACAGTATGAGTGCAACTGCACTAAACTGCACTATACCCAACGAACACACAACATCTGCACTAAACTGCATAGTGCAAGTGAGTGCAAGTAGTGCAGTCCCAACGAACAAAGCTATTGAAATGATGTTAATAAGAATCAAAAATGCTTTAATTTGGTACCAAAACTCAAGGTCTATAGAACATAAGGTTACCCAATACCGATTCTCCTCCTCTGAGAGGCAAGGTGGGTCAGTGACGTAGCTGGTTCTATGAACAACACAACACCACCTATACTGTGGTACAGTCTATATAAAATATTTAAACCTCGCATCGTGTTGTCACGTATAGGCACATGTATAGGCTATCTTTTATTCTGACTGTATCGAACCAGTGACGTCAATTTGCGGGGTAATAATCGATACTACAGAGGCATAGGGAATGAGGTAACCTTATGTTCTATAAACCTTGACCAAACATGATATATTTGGGTAAAAATAAGAAAGTTAGGTTAGAAACTGTCAAAATTAAATATAACAATTTTTTGATAGATATTGAAATGATCTTAATTTAACTTCTTAACCTTATATTTGGGTTAAAAAATAAAAAGTTAGTTTATAAACTGTCAAATGTCAAAAATCGCCATTTTTTTTTGCAAATAATTATGATATCTCGATAACCGTTAGAAATAAATAGGTCGAGTTTGGGTTCATTTTAAAGGATTTTTCATTTTCTATTCATTTATGTTAAAAAAGAACACTTTTATAACTAATTAATAATAAAATTTGTGAATTGATCTCTATTAAGAAACAAATATAAAATTTAAATTTATTAGAATCATTTAGGTTACTTTAGGCAACTTGAATGATTCTAGTTCTTGGTCTAGCGCTGAATAACAATTAAAACTAGAACTAACACTAGACCTAGAACTAGAAAGTTTCGGCTTTAGCCGTGCGTCTTCAAACGCATAACGGAGGGTACGTCAATTTATTTAAATAAACCCCCTTGTATGTTTTATCATATTAACCCTTGGATTAACCCTTCGTGTCCCGACGGTACTTTAAAGTACAGGTAGTTTTAAACACTCATTTTAAACTGTAGATTTCTATTCGGCGCATTTAGAGCTCTTGGTACTCTCTGCTACACAAGAAAGAATCTGTATAAAAACGACGCAATCCGCACTGTAGGGTTTTTAGGTATATTTAAACTTATTCATCCATATGTGAGGTTAGAAGTTGAGTGAAAAGTGGTGTTGTTGAATTTTGTTGTTCAAAAAGGTTTCTCTTTGATAAATGGTTATTAGGTGCGATTATTACAGATGATTTTAAAAAGAAAGCATTGCTAGCACGGCTTCCAGGAAAGTTTTTAAAGTAACATCTTTTTTGACACTTTTAGATTTTACGAAAATGTAAGTTTTGTTTCAACATTTTTTTTGTCAATATTTTTCCAATCCAACCCAACAATTATTATACATTATTTTAAAGAGGAAGCTTTGAGCTTTAATTTAAAATAAGTCTCATTCCTTAATTTCGATAAACACGGCTTCCAGGAATTTTTTAATTAGCATCTTTTTTTGACACTTTTAGGTTATATGAAAATGTTAGTTTTATTTCAACATTTTTTTTCTCAATATTTTTCCAATCCAACCCAACAATTATTATACATCATTTTAAAGAGAAAGCTTTGAGCTTTAATTTAAAATAAGTCTCATTCCTTAATTTCGATAAACACGGCTTCCAGGAATTTTTAAATTAGCATCTTCTTTGACACTTTTAGGTTATACGAAAATGTAAGTTTTGTTTCAATATTATTTTTCTCAATATTTTTCTAATCCAACCCAACAATTATTATACATCAATTTAAACAGAAAGCTTTAAGCTTCAATTTAATTTCTTAATTTCATTAAATACGGCTTCCAGGAATTTTTGAATTAGCATCTTTTTTTGACACTTATATTATGCGAAAATGTTAGTTTTGAAAATTGTTCTGCCAAAGCTAGACCTCATTCCAAATGTACTGCGTGCAATGTTTATCATAATGTGATTTAGCTAAAGCAAGTTACTTATTTTCTAACGTAATAAAAAATGTATTATTTTTATATCAGCAATAAAAGGTTTTGTATATTGCAATATCACTAAAATATATTTTAATGCTTGATGGTACTCCCAAGTAGCATTATCCCCCTGGAATGGGGGGATTGCATATTTTGCTAAAATTCCAAAGGCCTTTACCGTGTGTATTTTGATAGCGTTTTAATTGTCTCAAAATTTTTGACTTCTTGGAACACAAAGGTTAAATCGTAATTAATTTAATGTAATTTAATCCCATTAATAACGGACCACCTGTATACATCATAACCCACAAATTAGTTCACAAACAATTTATATAGGCAACCAAACAAACACAGCTGTATATTGTGCAGTTCATTAAAATAGTTTTTTAAATTTTTAGGGATAAATAATAATTTTTTTTACTTTATACACTTTATTACTAAACAATTAATACAATAATAGAATATATGTTTATATCCTAAAAGTTAAATTGGGTTATTTATCTATGTTTATACTTGCATTATTTAATTAATATTTTAATTAATAATTGCGAGTTATCCTAAATAAAAACATAAAAAACAATATAATTAAAATATAATCAGTTTATAGGCACACAGTATTAAATAACATTTCGAGCTACAAAATTCTCAAGCATTTTCTAAAACAGTTATACAAACTATATTCATTATCATTTATATTTTATTAATAAAACCTTACAAATTAATTATTGTTCCTGCATTTTTAGATAAATACTTGTTCCTCATCAGAAGTGGTCATTTCTTCAACATTACTTTTTTTAACCGGAGTAACCGGATATTTAACGGGCCCTTTCCATTTTCTACTTAATCCCAAGCTTCTCGGCAAAGCAATCGACGTCGTTTGAATCTCATCCGATTTAATTAACTCTTGTTTGCGGTCAAGCGAACGATAAAAACCTGTTTGTTTCGGTATCATCTCAACGATAATTGCGCGATCTTTTTCATCATTTTGATTCTTTTCGGTGTAAATTTGATTACATGATTTCGATATGGTTTTGTTTAATTTATTCGTGTTTTTTTTCGGTTCAATTTCATATCTGATATGTTTATGATATGGTACTTCCGGTTGGTTATTAAAAATTGTGTGGTATTTTCTTAAATTTGATAAATCGTAACAATTTTCGGTTACGTGTTTTTCTAATGTTTCGTTTTCGATTGAAATCGTTTTTAATTTTTCCATTGTTCGTTCGAGTCGTAAATTTTTTAAATGAGATTCGTTTATTTTCGATAAATTGATTGTTAAATTTTTCGAAATTTTTGAATTTGTTTTATTTCGATTTATTTGAGATAAAATCAAATTAACGTTTTTGTTGGTGCTTTTTAATAAATCTAAAGCGTCCGAGTATTTCATACTAAGCAAATTTTTTCCATCAACACTAATTATTTGATCACCTTTGTTAATTTTTCCTGTTATTTGAGCTGGGCCACCATCTATAACCGATTGGATATAAACTCTCCCATCAGAACCTTCAGTTATTTGTATCCCTAAGCTTCCTTTTACATCTTTCGTTAATGAGATTGCTTGCAAAAAACGTTCCTCATCATACGAAAAAGCGTTTAATTTATTTAGGAGTGATTCGCTTAAACTTTCTTGGATGTCAGAGAAAATTTGTTGTGATTCCGATTTGGGCTCTAAAATTGATCCAATGATGTAAGCATCATGTATTGGTGATTGAGGGGTTGAAACTGTGCTGCAATGAATCGAAACACTTTGCAAACTTAATTGTTCTAAATCTGGTTCATTTCCAAGCGAATTAACCGCCTCCATAGATCGCGAAACGCGATGATTCGTTCCAAAAGCTCTTATCCCCATTTTAACCCCTCTCCTTTTATCGAAACTTGTAGCATTTGGTAACCCTGATAAACAACTACTATCTAAAATTAACCCATTAAGCTGTTTCATTTTTGAATTTTCATTCTCTTTATTTTGAAATGTTTCAATATTCGTAATTTCTTTGAAATCATTAGCACTTCGCGATCTTCGCCTTAAATTTGTGTTTTTTGGCGTTTCTGAGCGAGAATTTGAACAAAATTCGATTCTAAATTCGGTTTCTGCATTAACTGATGCTTTATCCAAGGTTAAATAATTATTGGTTAATGATTCCAATTTGAATAAAGAGTTAGTTTCGTTTTTAATGTCTTTTAAAGGGATTCCAAATTGTTGAGAGAGCGATTGTAGCGATGTAAATTCGGTTCGAAGGCGTAGAAAGAATTGGTGGTGGAGGGAAGCTAAACGGAACGTGAAATAACTCCTAAAAAGATTAAGTTATTATTAAGATTCTAATTGAGATTTTGAAATTTACTTTTTATGGTCCATTTTGAGTTTATATTTTTTTAATTTCGATCTGTGTAATTTAACGGCGTGAGGTAATACGCATAAATATTGTTTGCTGTAGCATAAAGTTTGGATTGAACGCCATTCGAACGATTCGCACAGCATTGGGCCGTTGTGGGTTGAAGAATTACCTCTTTCGTAGATGTTAATTCCTTGGGCGCTTATGTATAACCAAACGTTTTTGTTATTGTCTTTAAGGGCCTAAAAGAAAATAATTTTATATACAGGCTGTACAGAAAGTATGGAATAATGGTTCTACAGCATAAACTTCAAATTATATAAAAAAATGTTTTAAACAAAAGTTACACACATGGTGAGTGTGTTTTTTAAATGGAACATCCTGTATATTTTAAGGTTTTTGGATTCCTTTTGATAAGGTGTTACAAAATGCCATAAGGCTTTAATGCTTTAAACTGCATAGTTTTCGAGATATTGAAACTTTTATTTAAAAAGATTTGACATATCGACAACCAAAGCCTTAACATCATAGAAATGGGCGGAGCTTATACCGACTCCAAACATCACCGGTAAATCACCATATGCAATTTTTCATTAGTGTTTAAATAAAATAAACTAATTGACTTAGACAGTCTATTATGGTGTCATTATGGAATAGACAACCTAAGCCTTGACGTCACAGGGATGGGTGGAGCTTATACCGACTCCAAACAATTTCATTGCTAACGATAAATCGCCAAAAAATGTCATCACTTAGTTTATTTTATTTTAACACTAATGAAAAATTGCATATGGTGATTTACCGTTAGCAATACAGTTAGCAACGAAAATGTTTGGAGTCGGTATAAGCTCCGCCCATCTCTGTGACGTCAAGGCTTAGGTTGTCTATTGTTTGGAGTCAGTATAAGCTCCGCCCACCTCTGTGACGTCAGACTTAGGCAGTCTATTCGAGCGAAAACTGTCTCCGTTACCATAGTAACACACATAACAATAGACTGCCTAAGTCTGACATCACAGAGGTGGGCGGAGCTTATACCGACTGTAAACAATTTCGTTGCTAACGATAAATCGCTATAAAAATGTCATTTAAAATGTCACTTAGTTTATTTTATTATAACACTAATTGAAAAATTGCATATGGGGATTTTTCGTTAGCAACGAAGATGTTTGGAGTCGATATAAGCTCCGCCCATCCCTGTGACATCAAGGCTTAGGTTGTCTATTCCATAATTTGGTTGTCGCTACGTCAAATCTTTTTAAATAAAAGTTTCAATATCTCGAAAATTATGCAGTTTAAAGCATTAAAACCTTATGGCATTTTGCAACACCTTATTAAAAGGAATCCAAAAAACTTAAAATATACAGTGTGTTTCTTTTAAAAACTCACTCACCATGTCGCAACTCAGACTGCCGTCGTCATTTTTATTTTTTACTTTTTTTAATATAAGTTGAAGTTTAGGCTATAGAACCATTATTCCATACTTTTTGTACACCTGTATAAAATTAAGAACAAACTTTTTTTGGAGGTTATTTTGTTACGTCAAATATAAATTTACGCGCCATGTTTTTATTTTAAATCTCCATAGCAACTATAAGGTTTGCCAATGTTAAAATAGGGAAAAACAAAAATTTTAGAATTTAATAAACATAACCTCAAACGGGGAAATATACTTCTATGACTTCTCAGAATAGACAGGACCAAAATATTGAAAATTGTTTGGTGCCTGCCCATTTTTATCACAGAGCACTGATGACAGCTATCACAAGCACAGAAGCCGCTTGGTACGTTTTACGATTATACAGGCTGTTTCTGTAAGTTGTGGCATAAATTTAATCACAAATACTACAATGAAACAATTTTTACACGAAAATTTTTGAAAAAATTATCTAGTGTTTAAGAATGTCAACGTCAATTTTGATATATTTGTAATTGTCGCGAAAAATCCTTTAAAATGAGTCCAAACATGATAGGTTTAATTCCAATATTACTCGAGATATAAGCTACTTCCGGTTAAGAATGTCAACCTCAATTTTGACATATTTGTAATCGTCGCGAAAAATCCTTTAAAATGAGTCCAAACATAATAGGTTTAATTCCAATATTACTCGAGATATAAGCTACTTCCGGTTAAGAATGTCAACCTCAATTTTGACATATTTGTAATCTTCATTAAAAATCCTTTAAAATGAGTACAAACACGANGTTAGCAACAATGAAGATAACAATTTAATTTTTAAATATTAATACCAACCTTAATTTTTTATTTTTTTATTATAAATTTGTTTTTGAGACAAATAAGAAGACATTTTATAAAAATGAAAAATATGTCAAAATGACATTGACATTTCAAACCGGAAGTTGACCATAACTTCATTAATATTGAAGATAAATATGTCGTGTTTGTACTCATTTTAAAGGATTTTTAATGAAGATTACAAATATGTCAAAATTGAGGTTGACATTTTAAACCAGAAGTTAGTTATCCTATAATAGAAGTTTTATAACTGAAGTTAATTTAGTGTTAGTCACTTTTCCGCATTTTCTTTTTATTTTTAAAGTACTTTTTTGGTCATTTCACATTGATTAAAAAAAATCGTCGATTTTTAAGCCACATGATGATTCTTGAATTTTTCCCAAGTTTCTTAATAGTTCTTTTATTAAAAAAGAGCGTTCTTAACGCCGTCCTTAATTTCATTTTATAATTTTTTAAACTTTAATTTTGTAAATTAGTAACTGATAATCTGATTTCGACTTTGATATGTGATCTTTTTTAACAAAAAGAAATATTAAGAAACTTGTTTGTAAAATGGATAGGATGAGGGATGTTAATCTATTTGTAGAGAGTCTGAAGGTGGCCAAGGACCGAAACTAGTTAGACTTAAATTCTATATAAAATAGAAAAAACCGGTTGAAAAGTACAAAATCAAACTGTACAGGTGGTTCAAATTCGATATCCGAATAGGCTATCTTGGAAACTATAAGAGTTAGAAAAAAAGTAGCTTACATGTCATGATCTCGTTTTTCGAGAAACTGCTAATGCCAAAAACCTCAAAGCGCCAGAAACGTCTAATGACCGGTCTCTCTGAGACAGTATGTATATAGGTGTTTCATTTAAAATGACATGCTTATATCTCGAAAATCAAAACTCGATAAATCGATAAAAGTTTCAAGTAAACATTTTTTGGTGAGAAGGGGAGGACACGTACATATGAACAGAATTTTTTTCAGAATTTATGAACAGAAGTTATTTATCCTTTTATAAAAGTTGAACAAAATTAATTTCACAAGCATATTTATAATAAAGTTTGTGATGTTTTCTTTATGGCAAAGTAATGTGAAGTTAACATTATGACATTATGACGTTGACGTCGATTTCTGGTATATGTATAAATAATTACATTGCAAATTGTGTATGGCAGCGCCATCTAGTGGATTGTTATAGTAAATAAAATTCCGTCTTTTATATCTATCAAGAAATCATACCCTGATTAGCCGTTTCTCGAAAAACGAGATCATGACATGTAAGCTACTTTTTTTTTTAACTCTTATTATAGTTTCCGACATAGCCTATTTCATTGAGGGTATATATATAATCTAGAGAGCGTATGTGGTGGTGGTGGGGGTAATCAGAAAGTCAGACATGTTGGATGTACCGACCTGAACTTAGCTATAGTTTCAAGTCTCTATTGTACTTACAATTATAACCTCACAATTCTCATAAACATATTGTTATTTTTATTAAAATTTAATTTTTGATGAAAGTTTTCGAATTCTTTTCGTTTCACATATTATGTTTTTTATAATTTGGTAGGTTGGACGATTATTTACAACATTATGGACTGTTGAAGAAACACTCGGGTGGAATGTTTCTGGTTACTTGACTTGGAATTAACAATAATTGTTGATTTGTTGAACTTCAATTATTGAAGTTCAAGTAAAGTTTATTATTAAGGAATGTTCAGTTTTTTTAAAATAAAGTAACAATTATTTATAAGCAAAGGTTAACGTGATCAATCAGAATTGCTTTAAATATTTTCTTCTTAGTTTATGTTATATATATGTTATAATTATAAGGGTTGTGGCTAAAAATTATTAAGTTCTTTTAAAATATCATATAATTAATAATTATTTATCAATAAAAAATGAATGTTTTGTTTTGGTTATTATTTTCTGTCTTTCCAGTTTATAATAATGTAAATTCTTGCATAAGTATATATAAGAATTTCGAATTTCCCGCTAAGTTGGTACATCTAACATGGCGACCTTTTTGGCTTCATTTTAGGCGTGGTGGGGACAACAGCATACGCACTCTAGATTATATATAAGACCTCAATGGCCTATTCGGACATCGAATTTGAACCACCCTGTACATAATTTTCTTCAAACATTTTTACACGAAACATCATTTTTGATGGACTTTCTTGATTAATTAAACGACTTTATGGCTTTTGCGGGAATTTTATTTTTGCCAATTTTAAAACAGAATCTTGTATATGACAAAATCATAAACAACAACAACTTTATATCACTATGCTTACAACATGTAAATTGTTAACAGGTGAAGTGATCTAAATATTTATTATAAAATAAACGTTGATCAAAATAATTATCAACTAGATTATTCTAACAATTTTGATGACTCTAGTATTTGTGACTAAATTTATGCCACGACTTACAATTTGAGCCTGTCTATTTTGAAAAGTCATATTTAACACAAAAACACAAAAATCCAAGGGACAGAACGTTTTAAGAATAAGGAGCTGACGAAATAAGAAAGTAGCTCAACCCCAACTAGATGTCAATAACAACATAACCTCATATTTTAATTTATTAAATTTAAAATGAGGTACTTACCCACGTGGCTGTATAAAAATGTCCACCATAATGTGGTAAAGTTTGTGCTAAAAGGATAAAATCTTCTTCCGCCCTTTCCGGATCAAGACCCTTTTTGTATTTGTGAGCTCTAATTAAGTCGTATTTTAAAGTAGTTGGATCATCGACAGCGCAACTCATAGTTTCAGGGACGTAATGTTCCAATAAAAAATAATCTCGCGTTCCATGCTCCTTCAAAAATTGATTTTTTAAATCGTATTAAAAATTTAAAAACTACTCACTCTTTCGTTAAAATCGCCAAATTCTGCTTGGAGGGCTAACCCGTCTAATTCAACTAATTGAGTGAAAGAACATGGTAATTGGTGCTCTAAAATTGATCTTCTTAGTTGTAAATAAAGTAGATGTCGCGCTTGATTTCCTCGAATTCCTCTTAGCGATGGTAAAAAAAATCGTACTCGCATAAATAGGGTTAAAGCAACTTGTGAACCACCCCCTGAAAGGAGTACTTTACTTATTCTTGTATCTGATGGTAAAAATACAAAATCCCCCGCGATTAAAGCCGATAATCCCAGCATAAAATTTTCACCAATATGCTCTTTACGAATAATTAACTCAAATAATTGCCCTGCTGTTGTATTATTTGGGTTACATAACACATCGATTTTTTGCCCGTTTAATAAAATAACGGTTACTGATTTTTTTGTACCACCTTTCGAATCAACCATTGTAAATTGTTTACTCGCCAAAGAAGCGCGTACAACAAATTCGGGTCCAATACAATTTCTTTCATGAGTTTCACCAATAAAAACATTTTCATTAGTCGCTTTATAAAGTCTCGAAGCTGCTCTTTGAACCGGATTCTTCCTCGTTCTTCTTCTGCTTCTATCTCGATTTGATTTCTTAATTTTTTCCAACCCAGAACTCGGTCTGTACACATCCGGTGGTAACAAATCGAAAGGTGTCGAATAAAAATTTTCCTCCTCATTCGGTCGATCATCATCTTGGTTAAAAAATTCGGGGAGACACATCGATTTTGGTCTAATTACATTTCCAGGAGGCGCGTTTGAAAGATGCGTCGAAAATGTTAATTCTTCCATACTTGTGCTTGCTTCTCGCGTTAATTTCCGTTCGTTTTGAGGTCTTGATAGACCCCAACGTCGTGGCATTGTCATTGTTTGTTCGATACTAAAACAAGAAAAACAAAATTAATTGGAAAAATAAAAAAAAAAAAATTGCAAAGGTAAATACACACAAATTAAAGTCGGATTGAATTGCGTGATGCTTCAAGAATATGATAATGAAGTAGATGTTAAAATTGCTGTTGCGTGAGTAATTCTAATTTTAATTGGGAAAAAGATAAAAAATGATTTAGAAAATTTTTGGGGGTTAAAAGCGAAAACGTGTTCGAACTCGTAATTGGTATCTTTGTCATAATTTAGGAATAATTTCATTAAAATAACGATAAATTTGGGTTCTCTAATTTAATTAATCCTTTTAAAATCATAACTTGTATTGACATCATTTTAATCGGATAAATCTTTATGGGTCACATTAGTCGAGTAGATTTATTAGTTTCTAGTGGGGAGAAGATTAATGTGGGCCGTTGGAATTTAATAAATTTACCGCGACCATTAACATTTCCATCTCGATTGATTGCTAGTTAAAATAGATGATGGAAATCCATAAATACAAGCTAGAATAATTATTTTGTTTATTTATTTATGTATTTAATATTTTTTAATTAATTTACTTCATTAACACAATTATATAAACCGAGTTGCTATTTATTGATTAAACGCTAATTGATAGGAATCGAGATAATTGGATTAAATTTTGAATTATAACTAGAACTTATATTAGCACTGACACTAGAACCAACACTACACATAGAACTAGAATGATTCTAGTTCTAGGTCTAGCGACAGTGTTAGTTACAATTTGGTGTCAGTTATTATTCAGTGCCTAGTTGTTGTATATTTGTATTGAACAAAAACTAGAACTAATCACTAGAACTAACACAAGAACTAGAATCATTCGGGTTTAGCCGTCTTGAGAGACGTGCGGCTAAATCCGAATGTTTCTAGTTCTAGGTCTAGTGTTAGTTCTAGTGACAGTGGTAGGTAGCGCTAGTTAACATAAGATATTGCCATATTGTATATTTTTATTGCACAAAAACTAGAACTAATACTAAACCTAGAAATATTCATGTGCGCCTAAAAATAATTTTGATGCTTGAATTTCGACGCACCACTAACAAAAAAACTTCCAGGTGTTAATGTCAACTTTAATTTTATTTTATTATAAACATTGTGACATCATTCCCTCCTTTATTTCTAAAACTCCAATTATAACGACGTTTCGGGAAATGTTCCCATCATCAGGTTAATAATACTCTTATATTAAACTTAAAACTATCCATCAATTCCTGTTTCACCAGATTGAACATCATTACATCTTTATTCCTCATCTCTATCCTCTTTATTTCATGGATTCTTGTGTCTTCCATATTTTAATCTATAATTTTTAGTTTATGGAGGCTTTG